TGTCTTCACCGCCAGTGCCAGCAGCCCATAGGCTGATTAAGACTGGGGGGCTTTTTGGTCTGCGACATCGCCGTGATCAGCGCACGGATTTAAGCCTGGTTTTTTATATGAGGACTTAAAACGACTAATTAAAAACTCCCTCCGTTTTCACTCTTTGCCACGCAGGAATAGCCTGACAAGTAGCAACTGCGGCGTCAACCACCCGCTGGCAAGACTTTAGATGACACCGCCTTTTGGAAACAAGCTTCCTGATACACGCCAGTATCAGTTTTCTATTGAAACGGATGATGGAATCATAGAGAGATTGGTTCTTGTCGGAGCAAAGAAAAACCCTCGACTTTTAGTACAAGAGTGGCCCCACTTGCCACTGCGCGCGCCCACCATTAGTTGTCCTTAAATTATTTATTTTGGTCTCATCTGTAAATTTACATTCTATAATTCAAGCGCTGCGATGTTGTTGTGTTGAAGCTGGGAAGTTGAATTTTTGGCATATCACAAACACAATTTTTAAAAAATACTCACTCATTTGCAGATTGCCTTTGCAAATCTCGCGATGATCTCATCAACACCGCCTATTTCTCGGAAATATCACAGCGGCTTGAGGCTGTTCTTTCGGAAGCGCACGAGAAAACATCAGTCGAAAGTTTTGCTTTCTTGTCGAAAATAGTGAAGAATTTGCTAATGGTCATTTCACGACCAGCGCGCATCCTGGAATGCCTGGTATTATTTTTTGTTGAATTTTTCCAATTAGACCTTCTTGTGGACATATCGTGTTTGCGATGTTACGGGGATGCTCTTACTCGTCAAACGATGCTAATCAGGGGGGATTTTTCAGTCCTGAGCTTCGTATCTTCAGCTGTTACATTTCTTTTTTGCGTAATTGCAGCGATATCCCTCCTACCGCTCATCTGACAGGGAGCGCAGCTTCTTATACATTTTCGGTCAAATTTGTAAAAAATTCAGAATTTTGACTGTTTTCTTAGTGACTGATTTCCCGAAAAATTAATGAGCAAGACAATCAACACTTATATTCGTATATTTAAAGGAATTTGATCCTGATCAGTTCTACCATTTGTTGCAAGAGACGGAAGGAGCGGTTC